TACCATAGTGGTATTTTATGTAATAAAATCTGAAATGAAGATGTTAAGGTGAATGCAAGGGCGGAGCAAGGAATTTTGATTCGGGGCTAAATTAGTATCATGCATTTAAAATTTTAAAAAGTATATAAATCAATTGTAATATAATTTTCTTTACAATATTATTGTTAGTAGTATATATATTGAGAAAAATACAATAAATATGACAAAAGTACAACTGAAACGAATAGATATGAAAGCTTTTATTAAAAATATATAGAGTAGGATGAATGATAAGTTACAATCTATGAAGTACGAACACGAACAAAGGTATGATACAACATGAATACGATAATACGATAAATTGTTAAAAAAATAAAAAAGACACAAAGAAATGGATACAACAATAAAATATAAATATGTATATTTTTATTATATATAATTTTAATTTTTACTTAATTTCTAAACTATTTTTATAAACAAACCCATTCAAATTAGGTCTACCAAAAAAATTTCTAAAATCATAAACCCAAATAGCCAATAAAATCGTAGGCCCAAATACCATTAATGTGTATATATATATATATATATATATATATATATATATATATATTAAGGAATTAAATTTTCTCAACAATGGTTTAATTTTTCAAACATTCAAATTTTGAAAAAAAATAAAATTAATTGAGTACTTCGATCTCACTTTGAGAAAGGCATATCATTGATTATTACCTTAACCAAAGATTCAGAGAAATACCTTCCGAAATTTAAAAAAAAAAAAAAAAAAAAGATTCAGGGAAAAAAAATTAAAAATTACTAAACAAAATTTATGAAGGTATACCAAAACATTATTTTCGAGAAGAAAATATTGAAGTACTTTTAGTAACTTGTACAAGGAATAATAATAAAAAATTTCATTTAGCCAATTAAAATATTTTTATATATATAATATTATTATTATTGTTGGATTTTTTGTCATCTAGTCTAATGACACTCTAGTTTTTCCTACCTCGTAATGCTCCAAGACTTGTTGACAGAGGATTAATTTTAGATTTTTTTTTTTTTGTAAACACCATTTAACTAAAATGTTTGACAAGGAAAGAAAGATATATGTATTTTTATTAAATACGAGGGGATGGTAGTGTAATTTTTTCTTTACTGAATTCATATAATAGATATTATATTATACATGTGTATATAAATGTAAAGGAACTAATGACATATTACAACTAGGACTACCATAATAATGAATTTATATTAGTGTAATTTTTTCTTTATTGAATTCATATAATAGATATTATATTATACATGTGTATATAAATGTAAATGAACTAATGACATATTACAATTAGGACTACCATACCAATGAATTTATATTTTTGTTTGACAATATTTGAGCTTTCAAAAGTAGATTAAAAAGGTTTGAAATTTTATATGAATTATGAGGACGCAAGTTTTATTATTTCGGAATTCATTATTTTGGGGCTAATAAATAAGTGTTTTGAAAGTTGTGGGGGATGTCAATTAAAATTTTGTAAGAATTTTGAGGATAGTAAGTTAATTTTTATATATAATAACTATTTTTGAAGGGGCATAATAAGAATTTTGAACTCCGCCCCTTGGTGAATGGGAGATTTACTGATGAGATAGATTTTAGAGATAGTGAGATAATAAGAAAAAATTTCATCTGGCAATATAGCAAAAATTTTTTTTAAAAAAATACAGGTGTAATTAATCCTGAAAGAATATTAAAAAAAAATAATTAATTAATTTTACCGACACTTTCAGGAGTCTAGATAAATATCATATTAAAATATCTTTTCAAAATTACTATCACTAACGTTTGTAACATTTGATCCGTTTTTCACTCATAATAATTCAGAAGTTAATTTTCAATTGTGATGGATTATTATATAAAAAGACATTATTACCCTTTTGATTTTGCATTGACTCATCGATAATTAAAAAGACATTTCTACCCCTCTCTCTCCTCTCGTTTCACTACCTATGTTATTGCATCAATTAATGACAAATCAATTCACTAAAAGTTTGAAATTTGAGAAAGGGTTTGGAAGTTTGGAAGATCAATAATGGCATAGATCACCAAGCCCAAACAAATATTGAAAAGCAAAGACTAAAAAAAGAGGTATTGATTACATTAGAGACGCCTTCCCGGTTCCGACCTCGTCGAGATGGACCTCCGGTGGACCCACTTATCACCAAACCACTTTTGTCGCTTTATAGTGTTTTATGGTAGGGCCCATTTAAGATATAATTGGATTCATAGTCAAGGAACCTCCCTCATGTAATACACATTTGTTATTATAAAAAATATAAATGTACCTTTCTCGTTGGTCCTTAATTAAAAGCTTTACACAATCCCCAAGAAAGACCTAAGCCTTGTTCGGAGTAGAAGCCCACAAACCTCTTCATTATTTGGAAAACGATTAAACATCACAAACATAAGCGTGTGTGAGTTGTTTGATGCATTCATATTTATTTTAAGAGAAGTAATAGATCTTAATTACCGACTATCTTAAGGTCGGTCTTGAGATTGAAAAATTCTTAAGAGGTCCTAGATGAACTTTAAATGTGAAGCCCTAGTAGTAAATAATGGCCCATCATTCTTGCTGCATTTGGAGGCTGGTCCATCATTCTTGCTCCATTTTGATGGCCCTAAATTTGGAGGCGAGTTTCAATTGCTACGGTTTGGTTATAAAATTTTTTTTTTTGGTGACCCATCATTCTTGAGGTCCTTTATTTGTTGCATTTTGGTTATAATTTTTTTGTTTTTTTTTGGTGGCCCAACATTAATGGTCCTATAAAATTTGAGGCCCCTTAAATGATTTGATACATTTAGTTACAATTTTTTTTTTTTCTTTTGTAACCCATCATACATGGGCCTATAAAATCTGAGGCCCCCAAAATTCTGATGCCCTAGGCGACCGCCTTGGTCGCCTTAGGCCAGGGTCGGACCTGGACTACTCCTCCAAATATAACGTGGTTGGGAATGAGTCGAAAAGAAAGAGATGTTTACGGGAATTTTTTTAAAAGTTCCAACAGGATCCAACCACGTTGTATTCGGAGGAAGAATCGGCAATTAAGGTCGAAAGACCTATCGTTTCTCTTATTTTAATAGTGGTTTCTGAGTTCAGAGTATGAGCCCGTTGGTATTGCTTCTCGATTAAAAATATTTTTATTTTAATAAATGATGTTTAGATGTGTTTGATAATCATTAAAAATACTTTTAATAGTTATCAAATTTAACTCAATAGAGTTTATTATAAAATTAACAATAAAAATTAAAATATATATATTATTACAAAACATATTAAAAGATAATTTAATTATTAAAAATATTTATTATAATGTGTCACCAAACATCTAACATTATTTTTACTCACCATAATTTTTTAACAACTCTATTGATATATTTCAAGAGTAACCCCAACCGGGCTCTATGGCTTATTGGCTTAATTCAATGGGAATATCAAATGACTCCTTAGTCCTTGCATATGTTCTTAATAATGTCTGAGTGACAGGGTTATAAATGAGTTGATGAAATATTTTAAAGTCAACTACTTAAAAACTTAACTCTTATTCTTATTTGTTAAGGGTGGTTAAGGATTGGATAAGATTAGGCATCAATTCTAATTCGATCCGCTCCTAACAGATTAGGCATATCTTAATCCGCCACCAATCCGTTATCCTTGTAATAACTGATCGGATCGAATTGAATCCGCAGATTGAATTTTACCTAAATTATTCATTATTATTGTTATTATTTTATAATTAATATTATTTATTTTTTATTCATAAAATTTTAATTTATTTATATTAATTTATATATTTAAATAATTATTAACTAATACATCCTTAGAATCAATTAAATTATCATTAACTAATTAAATTAACTAATATATTATTTAAAAATACATATATAAATTTCACGGATCGGATCGGACTCACGGATTGGATCGAATTTTTAACAAACCAATCCATGATTCGATTCGTGAATTACGGATTCGCTTTTTTTGAATCCGTCACCGATCCGTGGGTGTAGCAATCCGATCTGATCCAATCCGCACGGATCGAATCAGATTCGCGGATTATTTGTCCACCCCTATTATTTGTAAGATGAATTGATTAATCTCATCCTATATTATGAAGTCATTTATTAAATGAGATCAGATTGAACAAAATTAGATTATGATACAATTGTGTTCTTTTAGAAAATTTAATATCCATTTTTTATGACCTATTTTCTTAATAAAGAAAAATTATGTAATCAACCACGAGCTACCAAAGGCCTTATGACTTAATGGTAAAGTGAATGGTAAAGGATCGAGTTCCCAAAAGGATAAGCTGAGTGTGTATTTCTTGCCAATGCAAAAAAAAAAAAAAAAGTTTCAACCATGGTCTTTTATTGATTATGAGCTATTTTCAAAATCAAGTATAAAAGCTTAAATATTGGACTGGGCTTTTGTTGGGCCTTTGACATTCAATTGGCCCGTTAAGTCGGGCCACATTAAGACCTAGATCCAGGCCCACATTAGGTCCAAGACCGTCCATTTTGAACATGGGTTGGGCGGAAAGTTATGAAGCACAAACACTTTACTTAGAGATGTCGTGACAATGTCGGATACGTGAACACTGCTAAAAGTGTCCTGAAATTTGAATATTTTATATTTTGGTTTGACACGACATGGACACGTGCTTTTAGACACTTCTAAGACACGGGGTGATTTTTGTAATTATTTTTATTTAAAAAATAAAATTCAATGCAATTTAAAATATATAATAGACTAATGCTAAAAATAATATAAAATTTAAAATATCAAAACTAACAAATATTTAATTCTAAACTCCTAATTTGTGCTTTCATTCATGATTATCTAGATAAAATAAATAACAATAATTGTTTTTCTATTTATAATAAAATATTATATTATATGTGTTGTGTTTTTTAAAGATTTATATACTATTGTGTGTGTCCCGTGCTAAAGTGATATCAGATCACAAACTTTTGGTTTAAGCCCCCCACTGCGCGCGCGCATTTTAACATTAAAAAATTTTGCACTTCAATTCTTCTGCCCAGGAAACACATCTTTGATCCTTTTTTGGGTCTTGAACTAAAGAATGGGTCCCCCATCACCATCAAGAACCCTACTACTCATCAAACTCCAAAAATCACATGTAACACTCGTGTCCTTCTCATGAGCTACAGGGAAAATAAGAAAACCCAAGTTATCAAAATTTAAATAACTTGGAGAAATATAACATGAACAACATTAAATTTAAATTTAAATGTTTTCTCCGTCCGTTCGAGGAGACAGGTATTTCAAAACCCAATTCAAAAACATAAATTGTTAACACCCAACCCAGTCTCCTCCTTCGTCTCTTGGCGAGGATCCCCATTTACGCAGCTTCCCTGCTTTTGTGCCATTTCATTTTAATGTGGAGAATGCTTCCTCTTCGTATGACTTGATTTCATATTACTAAGGCTCACAATTAGAAGAGAAGAAATAAATATCAGTCGGGGAAGTAAAGGCCAGCCTAAATGAGCTTGACCTTGGAGAAGTTTAAATCCCATCCGAATCCGATGGAAGAGGCCACTAGGTAATACTCGTGTCAAATTATGATAATTTTACCAACAGGCCAGTAGTCTAGCGGTACCAAGTCCCTACGTCTCAAAGAGATGTCAGGGGCTTGAGCCTCTGTAAAGGTATGTGTATGTGAGTACCCAATTAAGAAAAAAAAAAAAAAAAAATTATGATAATTTTTGTTTCCCATAATTTTTATTAGTGTCAACATTTTAATGTAAGAAAATCAGTAATTCTCTTATGTCAACTAATGACACATGAAATCTTCTCCCATACTGCAGTGCTTTGTTTATCAATCACTGTTCACACCAACGGACATAATAACTCGAGATAGCTAGGCTATATCCTATCTTGTGGATTCAAGATAACCCCGTTCTATGTGAACAATCTATCGCTTACACTTACAACAATGTGGGAGAGGGCGAAAAAACAAAAGACCTCAATTATTGATGAAGACGGAGTATGAGTGGGGCCCAAGACACATTTCCATTACTCTGAAAGGGAAAAAAAAAAAAACTTATAAGGTGAAGTTTCACAAGACTAGACTCGTGTCAAGAAAAATACGTACCTTCCGTTTCCGAGACACATTTTCACAAAATGGAGGAATATATGAGCCAATAGTGATTGAGTGATCTGAGGCATCACGTAAGTCAGGATCCTTGTGGTTCCCCTTGTACACCAAACTACCTTCCATTTCAGTACTCTGTTTCAAAACAAATCCATCTTATAAGATGAGCAAGTACCATAAGACTAGACTACAATCGAGAGAAAAAAACGTACCTTCCAATTCCAAGACACATTTTCATTACTCTGAAAGGGAAAGAAAAAAAAAAACTTATAAGGTGATGAAGTATCACAAGACTAGACTCGTGTCAAGAAAAAAATGTACCTTCCGTTTTCGAGACACATTTTCATAAAATGGAGGAATATATGAGGCATTAGTGATTGAGTGATCTGAGGTATCACATAAGTCAAGATCCTCGTCGTTCCCCTTGTACACCAGACTACCTTCCGCTTCACTACTCTGTTTCAAAACAAATCCATCTTATAAGATGAAGAAGTACCATAAGACTAGACCACAGTCGAGAAAAAAAACGTACCTTCCAATTCCAAGACACATTTTCATTAAGTGGAGGAATATTTGAGGCAATAGTGATTGAATGATCTGACGCATCACATAAGTCAGGATCCTTGTCGTACCCCTTGTAAACCAGACTACCTTTCACTTCATTACCCTGTCTCAAGAAAATTATTCCACCCAGAAGCAGAGGCACCTGAAAACTTAAAACGACTCCCTCACTCTGGTAGTTGCACCAACTCGGAAGCCCGTTAAGAAAAATATTCAACGCTCCTTTTTATCGCAGTCCCTACATTAAACCCACGAGCTGAGGCTTGGTTTCTAGTACTACATATACAGAGAGACAGAGACAGAGACAGAGACAGAGCGTAGCATACCTGATAACAGAGATTTCTACTAAATTTATATGCACAACAGTCGGGACAATGGTAAAATCTCCTCAATGATGTTTCTGCTGATTTTGATTCTATTTCTATGCTTTGCAATGATGTGCAGTAGTTTGCATGCAATGTCAATAAATTTACTGGAAGCTCTGGAATCGATTCAAGCCGAGTACATTTACTTACAGAGAGGGCCTTGAGAAGCTGAAGGCTACTTATGGTAGCTGGTAGGTTAGAAAAATTGTTTTGGCTAAGATTCAAAAATTTGAAGGACACCAAATTACAAATTTCGCTGGGCACATATGCTATATTGCAGTCTTCCATATGTAATTTCCTGATGTTACCTGATAACTGTAACGATGAAAATCTTGATTCAGGTGGGGATCCTTGAAAAAATGCTAGCCACTCTAATTTGGAGCAGCCGGACAGATTGACATGAAGTAAAGACTTCGACATGAAAATGCTCAGGGGAATCTTCTGAAGATTATGGCAATTCTTCAAATTCAAGACAACAAGATTTTTCAGATGTTCAATAGATTGGTGAACCTCTACCAGCTCTGTACAATCATTAAGTAACAATTCCTTAAGACTGGCGAACCCTGTGAAGTCTGGAGTATTGATCAAGAAATAGGAATGGCCGAGATTGAGGTATTTCAATCTGTACAAAACCTGTCAGGAACAGAAAGAGACAATAAATTTCTATGCATGTCATTCTATTAATTAAGTTTGAAGGAGACAAAAACAGTAGTATCATCGTACCTTCGTTCCTCTCCATACTTGTTTCAGCTTGCTATAGCTCAAGTCAAGGGCAACTAGATTATCCATAATTAAGTTTGATGGTATATAATTTGAAGAAAATCCTTTCCAGGATAGCCATACAAGTCTTCTAGAGAGATGTTTGTAGCTTCCTCTTAGATGGACATTATTGAGATGAAGCAGTCTCAGCCTCTCCATCTTCGTAAATGCCTTTGCTTTTAGTTTTACCTTCTCTGATTCAGGCAAGTTCAGGACTAAACCTTGAATTGCTTTCGTCCCCTGATGGTAATAAAAGGCTGCAGATATAAGAATATATGCGAGTCTGTGTGTATATGTTGTGTAACATTGTGTTGAAAATAGGTTCATATCCCAGATTGTGTGACTTTCATGATGTGTCGTGTGCTATGGCATTTTTACAGTGAACAAGACCTCCCACATTGACAAGATATGTAATTACTTCACGCATTAGGCTCTTACAGTATTATTTTTCAGTACATCAAGAACGTCTTCATGATACCATAACCTACTACGTTCACCAGGCTCTTCAAGGGATTCTTGGCGGACGATTTCTTTAGCCATGTCTTGAATCAGATCATGCATCATCAGCCGGTTATGCCGATCAATGCTTACAAGACAACGACGATATAGAACCCCAATTCCAGATTCTGGGAAGAAACCGCAGCCTCCTAGTGTTTTGATTGACAAGTCTTGGTCCATTCCAACAAAAAAAAACATGCAATATCTAGGAATAAACCCCTTTGTTCATTATCAAGTGAATCGAAACTCAGCCTAAGTTTTCCCTGAACATCATTATTTGGGATCTTTTTCAACTTCTTCAATTCACTTCTCCATTCAGGTACAGTTTTGTCCGACAAAAAGGAACCTAAAATTTCAAGAACTAAAGGAAGCCCCTTAGCATAACTCACAACTTCCTCAGAGAGGATCTCATAGTCTTCTACAGGCTGGTCTCTTCTAAAGGCATGCCAACTGAAGAGTTGAAGGGATTCCTCCCTATTCAACTCCTTAGGCTTATACACCTCATCCACCTGAAGCGAACTTACTGAAGACAAATTTCTAGTTGTTACTATGATTATGCTTCCAGAACGTAACAAATCACGATTTATGGCTAATGCCCTCAATTGCCGGATGTTATCCACATCATCGAGAACAAGAAGAACCTTTCGACACCATGCTCGCCGTTTTATCACCTCAATTCCATAATCCTGGCTTCTTATTCTCTGATTTCCATCCAATCGGAGATCACAAAGAAGCTTTTCTTGTAATTCAACAAACCCGTTAGGTTGCATGGAAGTTGGTCCAACATTTGCAAGAAAGCTACTGCTTTCAAATTCATGAATGCGATGTATGCGATTATACATAGCTTTAGCAATTGTAGTCTTTCCTGATCCACCAATCCCCCATATGGCAACAATCCTAACATTATCACTATTTGATCCCAACTTTAGAAACTCACTTAGTTTTTTAACACGAGGTTTTATTCCAACTGGGTAGTCCGCAACACTTAAACACGTCAGATTTAGTTTATCTGCGACTTCTCGAACAGCAGTCTCAATAAACGTTGACTCGCACCTGCCCCATTTGATATTTTTTTCAATCATTTAGGAGGAAAAAAATAAATAAATAAATAAATTTGAAACTAAGCAATTTTTACTTACAAAGAGGTGATAGAATAAAATAATGAAGTTATAGCCGGGAACACCAAATTGACTTCTTGGATTTGAACTAAATTTCTTTCAAATTATAATTATATTCCTTCTAATTCGAAATTCAATTTCGGTGATCCCAAATGCAAATGCAAATGTAAGTGAAATTGGTTGCTTTGAAGAAAAGAAATCAAAATAAGTACCCGTTGGCCATATTTTGCAGGTCGTAACCGGACAAATTGGCAGCTTCTTTAAGAGCCGACCTCCAATTCTTCACCATTTTCATGTCGAACCGCTTTTCGTGACTTGCAAATGCTTCTTCATAACAACCCCTTTGTGAGCGAACGTCGGAGGGTTGGATGTCATAGAAGATGGGAATAACAATCTGACCAAATCTCCTCTTGCAATTCATGATCTTTACAAGCTCATCAAGGCACCATCTTGAGGACGCGTAGCTTTTGGAGAATATGATAATGGAAACCTTAGATTGCTCGATTGCTTTGAGCAATTCGGGACCAATTTCTTCTCCTCTGGTGAGTTTAGTGTCATCTCTGAAAGTGTATAAATCATGGCGCTCCAAAGCGGCCAAGAGGTGGGCCGTAAAATTCTTGCGAGTATCAACACCGCTGAAAGACAAGAACACATCGTAAATACAGGAAGCTGCCATTTTCAAAGCTTAAACAGGAGATCAAATGAAAGAAAGGGTTTGTGCGTGAGAGGAGAAGGGCATAACCTTGACTTATATTGATCAGAAAATGACCTTTTTGTTTAATTGGAGTAACTAATCCTATAAAAAATTTGAAGAATGATAAACATGAGGAAGAATCGAAGTAGCTGCGTGTGGCGTCGCCCACTCCACCACATCTTGCACGCACCATCTCTTAGGGTGTGTTTGGTAGGGTTGATTAGGAGGGATAGGGAGAGAAAAGAAAAGAGAGGATAGTGTAACTTTGTGTTTGGGTAACTTAAGTGGAGGGATAGGGAGGGATAAGGAGAGATAGGGAGGGATAGCTATCCCTCCCTATCTCTTATTTGCTTTCTCCTCAAAATTGAGAAGATAGGGAGAGATAGTGAGAGAAAGGATAGTGATTTTAGTGGTATTTTGATAATACCAAAATTAGCCTCCACAAATCAATAGACGGATTTATTATTCCATTCAAGTCCCATGGTTATGAAAGGGTAAAAAAGTAATTTGTTTATTATCCTTTCTTTTCTTTTCTCTCCTCTATCTTATCCAAACAAAAATAACTATCACTTTTTTTCTTTTCTCTCCTATCTATCCAAACACAAATAGAAATTATTACTATCATTTCTTTTCTTTTCTTTTCTTTTCTCACTAATACTGTCCTTTCTTTTCTTTTCTTTTCTCTCATTACTAATACTATCCAAACACACCCTTAGAGCTTATCTGTTAAAAAAGAAAAAATTGACTTAAAACCTACCCTTTCTTTCATTTGATCTCCTGTTTGAGCTTTGAAAATGGCAGCTTCCTATAAAAAATTTGAAGAATGACAAATCTGAGGAAGAATCGAAGTATCTGCGTGTGGCGTCGCCCACTCCACCACAGCACGCTCCTTCTCTTAGAGCTTATCTGTAAAAAAAGACAAAATTGACTTAAAACCTACCATTGTTGAAATATTGTAGAGTTTAAGTTTATTAATTTATCATAATAAATTGTCCCACTAGTTATTCCATTAACTACAATACATGTTATCTAAGATTGGACTAAACACAAAAGACCCAACCCAAACAAAACCCCAAAAGAGCTTACCAGGCCCAAAAGCCCCATCCCAAATTAAGATTATCGGTCACAATTTGAATTTCCAATGGCAGTTAGGGCTTAATAGAAATGGTGGGTTCTGATGGGAGATCCCATTCATGTGCAATTCTGGACGAGCAGATGGATCGTTTATATTGCAGAGGAAGAGGAGCCTTGCTTTGACACTGATCGATTACTTGGATGTCGCTCCTTTGAAGAGTCTGGATTTCTGTTCTTCCCGAATATGGTGGATGGTTGCTCTGATGGTGAGCTTCGAAACAGTGTTGGGAATGATCTTCTAGTTATTTCCAGTGATGGGTGGAATGGAGGAATTTCCATTTGGAGGGAATCCGGGAACACCATAGACAAGCCCCTTCATGGCCCATTTGTTGCAAAGCTTCTCAATGACTTGTTTCGCATCCAAGTTGTTGTTGAACATTATTCACTTGCTTTCAACTTCGCCATCCAAAAGGTACCCAATTCAGCAAATTTTTTTTTTTTAAATTGTGGACTCACTTGTTACATATCTTTTAACCATATAATATGCTAAGAATTGATACATTGAGAGTCCAAAATGTTCCTTTAAATAAGAGCGTGAGTGTGGTAATTGCAGAGGGAAAATACCATGACTGACCACTGCATACTGGTCAAGGGTGGCAAATAATTTTCCTTCCATTGACAACTCTAAATCTAATCAACTTGGCAGCATTGTGTCTCAGCTGGGGCAGCTTTCTCCAACTCCAAGTGCATCTTTGAGGTATTTTTACTGACCATAATTTCTTGTTTTTGATAAGGTATGTGTGCACCCATTTTGACCATATGCCTTGTGGATTATTCAATTTTCGTAGACATAGGAACTTAGAAATGGATGCCCTGCATAGGATAGATTTGATTTACTGAAGTCTGCCTGTATAGTATAACCGCCTGATAGTCCAATGTTGTATTCTTGCGGTGATTTTGTTAACAAGAACCATTCAAGCAGTAGCTGTGAGGCCAGGGGAACACCCAAATGTCTGATTGGTAGGGGAGCCCTTCTCAATTCCAACGAGGGAGATAATGGAAGATTAAGTTTGGGAGTCGGTGTTAGAGACAAATACTGAACTTTTTGCTTTATTAATGGAAAGACCTGATAGATTGGAAAGCAAGTCAAGTGCTTGTTTGAGAGTGGAAACAGATTGAATATCTCCATGGGAGAAAAGAAGCAAGTCATCAGCAAAGGAAAGGTGGGTGATTCCCAGTTCCTTACACCTCCAATGGAACTTGAAAGGGTTAAAGGAGGTAAAGTTGTGAACATTGAAGACCTCCATGGCCCTAACAAATAGGAAAGGGGGTAGGGGATCAACCTGTGTGAGACCTTGGAGACCTTTGAAACTTTTTATCATTCCTTTAGCTGGGAAGGATTCATCCTGATTTCATTTTCCATATCCATCAAACAACACATAGGAAGTGGACAGTGTTATCTTCTTTTTACACATTAATTTATATGGTGTTTGGTGCATGACCCAAGTGGTAGACTCATGATCTCTTCAGAGAGAGAGAGAGAGAGAGGTGGGGGAGGAATTAATAGGTAATTGTTTCACTACCGAAAACCAATTCAGAAAGTTGCTTCACTAGGCTGGTTATATTTAATAGGTAATTGTTTATAGGTAAGTCACATGCTTTAAAATAATTTAGGTGCACCATATTTTAATAATTTCTTGCCTTTTCTGAACTCATTTGTATGCCACTTTAGTTATCACTATAAGAAGTTGGATGTTGCCTCTGTCGAGTGGTTATGAAGTTTTCTCAAATATCTACTTTGAATAGTTGATGGGGTCTTTTATATTATCAAATATATTAAAATAGGAGATTATTATGTTTGACTGAAGTATTTTACGATGAATGGAATTCAAATTCCATAAAATTCTAAGAGAGTTAGAAACAATAATTAGGAATGTATATGTGGGATGGAACTGAAATCTCTACTTTGTAACTTGAGGGATCTAAAGGTTAAAAGGTGGTGTTACGTGTGTTTGACAAAGTGTGTTGGCAATTCATATTACGGATACATTTATGCATCTTTCCCAGTCTCTTTAGGATTGCTACGGATCGGCATGCTCTGGTTGCCGAATGCTATAGGTTGCATTCCTAGTTTATTGCAGCATTGTGCTTGTATGTTGTAACCTATAACCACATATTATATTCAGTAGAGATCAGAGAAGGCATGGCAAGCTAAGGCAAATGAAATCTGGGGAAGTTATTAGATGAAGCCTAAACTACAGTCTGAAGTAATTCGAAGATCTTTAGAAAGAGTTAGATCTTGGGGATTTTTTATTTTACATCATATGCTAAATATTTTGGCTGGATAGAGACTTAGATGTGTAACAAACTCGGTAATGAAAATTTTATAAGGAGAAAGGATGAATTATGCAGAAAGATGGGGAGATGAAGAGATCTATAACGAAAATGAGGAGAATAAAAGAAGAAAAATTTAGAGGTGTGTTTTAGAACTGAAAAAAAGTAGCACATATCTTCGGTATTGGAAATCCAGAGTATGAAGATGATTTGAGCGTTACATGTCTAAATATAATGATTATGAGAACTGGAAATTATCCCTTGACTAGAATTTTCACCCTTCCTCATTTTATCTTTAGAAAGAAGATCATAATCTATGTTATTGAACTAAAATATAGAATGGGGCTCTACATATTTTCCCCTGATTAGTGTTGTAGAATTTTAGTACACAAAACAAATTGAAGATATGGATTAATTAGTTCAATATTTTGTTGCAGAAAGGTTAGATTAAAATATGTCTGTACACTAACTCCATTGTTTCTTTATTGAAGTTCTCGGAGTATTTGTTCTTGAGATCCTATATTTCTGCACCATACTGTTTGAAATAATTGTGAAAATTTGCATAACTTCTGGGTTATCTACAGATGCTATTTTGACTGTCTCTCTGTACACTAATTTATTTGCATGTTTAGTTATTGTGCAATTTATATGCTTATTCAGCTATTAATTCAAAAGTATCATGTGCATATCTCTTCATAATTTCTTATATTTTTGTCTACTTGAACTCAATCATAAAGGATTTTCAACCATTCGGTAACTAATTATCCTTTGTAAAGGAAACTTGTATCATCAAATTGTTCAGTTCAAAAATAATGTTCGGTAAGTTTCTCTTCATTTATTAGTTCTACCCAATAAAACAAGTAGCATATATTCTAAAACGATGTGTTTCATCTAGTTTCTATAAAGGCAGATTTGGATACTGTTGAAATATGTATCTGTTACACAAAGTGCTGCGTTGAAAGAGTGACTCATGTGAACCCATAAACATTTGCAACATGCCACAAAATGATTTTTGACAGGCAAAACAACTTTTTACAATTCTCTGTTACTTGAAAATTTTATTGTATGTAGTTAGGTTACCCCTTTCTTACTTTCTTTTTTTTTTTTTTTTTCCTGGTACAATTTTACGAGTCCGTTTTGACTTGCGAAGGTTCATCCTAGATCCGAAATGGCCTAGCGATCAAAACACACAAGATTTGCTTGTGGCCCACAGCTGGTTTATAAGGAAAAGAGTGTTGTAATCTTTTGGCCAAATTCTATTGTTTAAGATTTTGACTCATTTTATTTATTTATTTGTATCTACTAGTTTTCTTCTCCTATTTTTTTATAATTTTTACAGATAATTCAATTTTAATTGGCAAGAAAAACTCACACATCCAATTTGCCCTTACGGGACTTGAACCCTTAACGTTCTAATTTTGGAGGCAAGGAAGTACCACTAGGCTACAACCTTTGATTTCTCTCTTTTATACATACACGTAGCGAAATGTACATTGATTGATAGTATTTGAAAATTCAACTTTATGAATTTAAAGTTGTTTTATTATTTCTTTGTGAAGGTTCATCATAGCTTTCGCTTCGTAACTAATAATTCATTATTGGGAATGTTTAATTGACATAAATCTAAAGCTAATTAATATTCAGTTATTTAATTAAAGTGGTTGTGCTTCATAACTGTGGAACCATTAGTTTTATCTTATGGAATATACCACAATCTCCGCCACCATTTTCATTTGAATAGAAGAAACTTTCCATTCCTTCTCACAATCGGCTGACTATTTGTAGGATTCATCGCAACAATCTAATTTTAGTAACATTATTCAGGTCACTACACTGAGTCTTGAAAATTATTTACAGAAAAAGAAGAGCTAGAAAATTATGAAAACAAAACTTCTTAATCTATTATTAGATCATGTTATTAATCCATATATAGTGTTTGGAGAGATGAATTGGATGCAGATGTTATTTTTTATATTAATCTGCACAAAATTACGTAAAGCAATACCTGCGATTCCTACTTTTTTGACAAGGTAGCTTTCGAATGGGAAATATATGAATCCCATCAAGAAATTCATAATCATATGAGTTGGGATCCTTGTCATCGCCTTTGTAAACCAGACGAATCCCGCATTGGTTCACCTGCCAACAACGGTTCATTGTTATTTGAATCTCCACTTCATCTCCGCAGTCCAAGTACCAATAATGGTGACACTCCAAATTAGATCCAAGGCTCCAGTTTGGTATGTAGGAGAGCCACATCTGATCTTCAAAACTTGCAGGATAGGATTCAACTATTTGTCCACGGTATGGTGACCTAGACATCTTGGTTCTATTATTAAAGTAATAGGAAATAACAAAATCTTGATTGAGGCCACCATAGCTAGAAAAACAACACAGAGAATAAATCCTTGTATTATCCTACCCTCCGAGTGCTCTATCTGAAAACGTAAACCGTGTCCCTGACTCTGGTTGTTGCACCACCTCGGAACCTCACTCTGGTAGTTGCACCACCTCGGAACCTCACACCCGGGGAGAAAAATACTCAACTCACCTTGTTCTCGTAGTTCCTGCAGCTCGCATAAGTGTTAGCCATCAGTCCTAACAGCCTTACCTATGCGATCAGAATGCATGCTAGCTCAAATTTTGTAATCAGAAGTCAGGCATTTGTCATTTAAAATAATAAGGCTTGGTTTCTTTCTAGTACTACACACACATAGGAAAAGAGAAAACAGAGCAGTGTACCTGATAACGGAGGAGATTTCTTCTAAAATTATATGCAAAATTGTTGTGGACTAATTTGGGACAACCATAAAAACTCATACGTTGTGCTTCTGGTGCTTTTGATTCCATTGATATACTTTGCAATGATGTGCAGTAGTTTGCAATCAATCCAAATAAATTTACTGGAAGTGCCGGAATGGATTCAAGCCGAGTACATTTGTTTACAAAAATGTACCTCAGTAGTGGAAGGCTAGTGATGGTAGTTGGTAGATTAGAAAACTTGTTTCCGCTAAGATTCAAAAATTGCAAGGACACCAAACTTCCAATTTCGCTGGGCACATATGTTATATTGCAGTCTTCCATATGTAATTCCTTGATGCAACTTGATAACTGTACTGACAAAAAACTTGGTTCAAGTGATGATCCTAGAAAAAATGCAGGCCACTCTAATTTGGAGCAGCCAGACAGGTTGAAATCAAGGAGAGACTTCAACATGAAAATGCTCAGGGGTATCTGCTGAAGATTCTGGCAATTCTTCAGATCCAAGACAAGAAGATTTTTCAGACATCCAATAGATTGGTGAATCTCTACCAGCTTTGTACAATCATTAAGCAACAATTTCTCGAGACTGGAGAACCCCGTGAAGTCTGGGATTTTGATCAAGAAATAGGAATGACCTAGATTGAGGTATTTTAATTTGTACAAAACCTGTAGGATCAGATAGCAATAAATTTCAATGTATGTTGTTGTCTTATTTAAGTTTTTTTTTTTTTGATTGGTTTTGTTGTCTTATTTAAGTTTGGAGGAGATGAAAACAGTAGTATAAGCGTACCTTTGTTCCGTTCCAAACTTGTTTGAGCTTGCTGTAAGTCAAGTCAATTGCAACCAGATTATCCATAATTAAAGCTGATGGTATACATTCTAAAGGAAATCCTTTCCAAGATAGCCATACAAGTCTTCCAGAGAGACGTAATTTGTAGCTTCCACTTGGATAATTGACAGAATTGAGATGCAGCAGTCTCAACCTCTCCATCTTTGTAAATGCCTTAAGATTTAGTTGTAGCTCCTCTGATTCTGGTAAGTTTAGGACTAAGCCTTGAATTGTTTTTGTCCCCTGACGATAAGAAAAGTTGTAGATATAAGAATATATATTTACATGAGCAACACAAGATTGTGAGACTTTCATGATGTGTAGTGTGCTATGACATTTTTATAATGAGCAACACAAGATATGTAATTAATTTATGCATTTGGCTCTTACTGTGTTATTTCTCAGTACATCAAGAGCATCCTTATGATACCACAATCTACTACGCTCGCCCGGTTCTTCAAGGCATTCTTAGCGGACGATCTCTCTAGCCATGTCTTGAATCAGATCATGCATTGTCAGCCGGTTAAGCACATCAATGCTCACAAGACCACGACGAGATAGAACCCCAATTCCAGATTCTGGGAAGAAACCGCAACCTTCTAGTATTTTGATCGGAAAATCTTTGTCCATTCCAACAAAAAAGCATGCGATATCAAGGAATAAACCCTTTTGTTCATCATCAAGTGAATTGACGCTCAACGAAAGTTTTCTTTGAACATCCGTATGAGGAATCTTTCTCAACTTCTTCAATTCACTTTTCCATTCAGCTATGGTCCTGTTCAACAAAGAGGCACCTAAAATTTCAAGAACTAAAGGAAGCCCTTTAGCATAGCTTACTACTTTCTCAGAGAGGATCTCATAGTCTTGTAGAGGACGGTATCTCTTAAAGGCATGCCAACTAAAGAGTCGAAGAGATTCCTCGTTATTCAACTCTTCGGGTATATATACCTCATCCACTTCAAGCGAACTTATTGAAGACAAATCTCTGGTTGTTATTATGATCTACTTCCAGGGCGTAAGAAATCACGATCTATGGCTAATGCCCTCAGTTGGTTGATGTTATCCACATCATCGAGAACAAGAAGAACCCTTTGACACCATGCTCGTTGTTTTATCACCTCAATTCCACAATCCTGGCTTCTTATTCTCTGATTGCCATCCATTAGGAGGATATCACAAAGAAGCTTTTCTTGTAATTCAACAAGACCGTTGGGCTGCATCGAAGTTTGTCCAACATTTGCAAGAAAGCTACTGCTTTCAAACTTCTTGTGTATGTCATTATACAATGCTTTAGCAATTGTTGTCTTGCCTATTCCACCAATTCCCCATATGGCAACAATCCTAACATCACTATTTGAATCCATTGAATCCAAATGTAGAAAGTAATTCAGTTTTTCAACCCGATATTCTATTCCAACCGGATAGTCTGCAACACTAAGCCATGTAGGATTTAATTTCTTTGCGACTACTCCAACAACAATCTCAATAAAGGTTGACTCACACCTGGCCAAAAATAAAAAATTTCAACCGTCGTAGGGGAAAAATGAAATTCAAAAAAATGAAGCTAAGCAATTTTTACATAGAGATAGATGAAAGATCAAAATAAATTAGTGATCAAATTGGTCTTTTATTTTTATTTTATTTTTTTTGGTAGAAAAGAGAGTTGAAGTACTCGTTGGCCACATGTTGCAGGACGTGACCAGACAAATTGGCAGCCTCAGCTGAGTTGACCTCCAAATCTTCACCGTTTCCTCGAACTGCTTTTCGTGATTGGCAAATGCTTTTGCATAACAACCCATCGGTGACCGAACTTCGGAGGGTTGCACGTCATAAAAGATAGGAATAACAATCTGATTGAGTGTCCTCTTGCAATCCATGATCGTCACAAGCTCATCAAGGCACCATCTTGAGGCTGCGTAGTTTTCGGAGAATATTATAATAGAAACCTTAGATTGCTCGATTGCTTTTAGCAATCCGGGACCAATTTCTTCTCCTCTTTTGAGTTTAGTGTCATCTCTAAATGTGTAAAAACCATGCCGATCCAGAGCGGCCAAGAGATGGGCCGTGAATTTCTTACGGGTATCAATACCGCTGAAAGACAGGAACACGTCGTAAATACAGGAAGCTGCCATTTTCAAAGCTCAAACAGGAGACCACATGAAAGGAAAGGCTTGTCCGTGAGAGGAGCAGGACAGAGCCTTAACTTATATGGATCAGAAAATGACTTTTTTTCTTAAACATTTTTGATGTGATGGAATAACTAATTCTATAAAAAAAATTGACGTATTGCAGATCTGATGGAGACTCATAGTTCCTGCACTTTGCGTGTCTCCAGTCCACTCCGGCTGCATGACAAAAGACCCAACCCAAACAAAACCCCAAATGAACTTACCGGGCCCAAGGCCCCATCCCAAATTAAGATTATCAGTCACATTTTGAATTTCCAATAGCAGTTAAGGTTACCTTCAAATAATAAAAAATAAAAATTTACAGTTGGGGCTTAACAGAAATGGTGGATTCTGGTGGGAGATCCCATTCATGTGCAACTCTGGACGAGCAGATGGATCATTTATATTGCAGAAGTGAAGCCTTGCTTTGACACTGATCGATTACTTGGATGTCGCTCCTTTGAAGAGTCTGGATTTCTGTTCTTCCCAAATATGGTGAATGGTTGCTTTGATGGTGAGCTTCGATACAGTGTTGGGAATGATTGTAACGACCCACTCCACCACATAGTATGATATTGTCCGCTTTGAGTCTGAGCCTGCACGGTTTTGCTCTTGGGTTTCACCCCAAAAGGCCTCATACCAATTGGAGGTGACATACTTACATATAAGCACTTCACTTTTCCTCTACCCAGGCGATGTGGGACTGTGCACCCGTAGCTCGCCAGTGTGGTAGCCTGACAGTGTCTCTCGCATCCGCCCACAAGGTCATCACAATCCACCCCCCTTAGAGGCCCGACGTCCTCGTCGGCACACTTTCGGCTGGGTCAGGCTCTGATACCATTTGTAACGACCCACTCCACCACATGGTATGATATTATCCGCTTTGGGACTGAGCCCGCACGGTTTTGCTCTTAGGTTTTACCCCAAAAGGCCTCATACCAACTGGAAATGACACACTTAGATATAAGCACTTCACCTTTCCTCTACCCAGGCGATGTGGGACTGTGCACCCGTAGCTCGCCAATGTGGTAGCCTGACAGTGTTTCTCGCACCCGCCCACAGCACACCCACCCACAGGGTCATCACAATCCACCCCCCTTGGAGCCCGACATCCTCGTCGGCACACTTCCGGCTGGGTCAGGCTCTGATACCATTTGTAACGACCCACTTCACCACATGGTATGATATTGTCCCTTAGGGCCTGAGCCCGCACGGTTTTGCTCATGGGTTTCACTCCAAAAGGCATCATACCAATTGGAGATGACACACTTACATATAAGCACTTCACCTCCCCTCTACCCAGGCGATGTGGGACTTGTGCACCCGTAGCTCGCTAGTGTGGTAGCCTGATAGTGTCTTTCGCACCCGCCCACGGCACACTCGCCCATAAGGTCATCACAATCCACCCCCCTTGGAGGCCCGATGTCCCCGTCAACACACTTCCGGCTGGGTTAGGCTCTGATACCATTTGTAACAACCCATTCCACCACATGGTATGATATTGTCTGTTTTGGGCTTGAGCCCGCACGGTTTTAAGTGCTTATATGTAAGTGTGTCACCTCCAATTGGTATGAGGCCTTTTGGGGTGAAAACCAAGAGCAAAATCATGCGGGCTCAAGCCCAAAGCGGACAATATCATACCATGTGGTGGAGTGGGTCGTTACAATGATCTTCTAGTTCCTTCCAGTGATGGGAGGAATGGAGGATTTTCCATTTTGAGAGAATCCGGGAACACCATAGACAAGCCCCTTCATGGCCCATTTGTTGCAAAGCTCCTCAACGACTTGTTTGGCATCCATGTTGTTGTTGAGCATCATTCACTTGCTTTCAAATTCGCCATACAAATGTAAGATTATTTATTTAATTGTGGCCCACATGATTTGGACATGTGACATATTACTTGGTAGCTAAGTAAATAAATATCAATTAATATTATTTATTTTTGGTCAACTTATAATTACCTTTTTGGTAATTACTTATTGGAGAAATGTTTTCCTTTCTTATTTCTTACTTTGATGGAAAGTAGAATTATGTTACTGAAAGGAAAATTGGTCTTCTCTCTACCTTTATAAGAGTGCATATACTCCATCAATTATGTACGATTAATGATACAATACGTAAAAAGTTTTATGTGTGCAAAAGGTCAATAGAGAGAAATCGGTTTCCACGATTCTTGCAGTTTAGCATGTTGTTCGTTCCACAGAAAAGATCTCGATGTTAGACTTGATCTCTATGATATTTGCAATCAGAGATCGAGGTATTTGTATCTAACTATTTATTTATGCATTATAAGTATGTGAGAATAATGAAGTTCTAAGATCTTAGAATTCATGTTTATTTGTGATTAATGATTTACACGAATAGTTATAGTTTACATGTGGTATCAGAGCTTATGATTTAGGAACTCGTTATTTTCCTTTAAAATTGCATAAATAATATGTATAAATATAAAGTAAAATTATATAAATATATAATTTATTTTCTTCTGGAATCATTGTATATATAGACGCAATATATGTATGGATAAACTTATTGTACAATAATGATAGTAAACTGCCATGGACCCATCTTCTAATCATTGGCTATGAGAGAATCTTTCCATACAAATCAATAATGTTTTACAACTTTCAATTGCTTATGGAAAAGCAATGCAATGGAGATGCTGCTAATTGAGACAACATATATCCATAGATTTTTTATTTTTCGTGCATGATCTCTATATAGAATTGGAAGGTGGCTTTTTGTGACTGGTCAGTTCTTGTACAGAGGATCGGAAAGTGCTGTTACGAAACTCAGTGTATATATAATAAATTATTAAATAAATAAAATATGTGTATTTATTTATTTTAATGGAAATTGACCGGTCCTTTACAAGGGTCGCGATACCAAGTCAAGCTTGAAGAGTTGTGTATGTTTAGGAGGTGGCCAAGTTTTACATTTATAAAAAACCACTACTACCTTTCTCTATATAAAATATAGATAGGGCGAGTAGGGATCGTCCCAAGGGATTTGATGGTGTATCGAATTATGAAACTATGGTAATTAGGGTTAGTAGGTCAAGTGATCACACAATTGGTTGGTTGGTTGATTAAGCTAAATTGAATTCAACTAAATAAAATAATATGAGGTAAACAAGAGAGAGAGAGGTCTTGGGGTTTAGAGATCACCACCAAGCAATACTTTTCTATACTACTAACAAGTGATCAATTGAGGGTAATGGATGTGTTGCAATATGATAAGGGTGTGCGTGTGCATTAGGTTGATTCAATTGGCAAGGATGACAAATCAAGCAAGTATTGTCTAAACATCATGTGAAGATCACAATATATCTAAGCAATAGAGCATATATTGTCTAGACAACATGGGGATAGCACAATAGATCAAAACAAGTCATTAATCCTTCATTAAGCTCACAATCCACATGCAACACAATATTAGAGGAATATGCCATTTCTCACAAGCATGGAACATCAAACATCAAGAGTAGATTGTCCTCCCATCTAACATTATACTACCACTACACTAAATCTACACTACTAGCATGAAAATAAAGCTATCTAGACTAGGGGAGAGGCACAAACCATCAAGAATAGGCATAAACCATCAAATGAACCAAAATAGCATTCATTAAGCATATCATCTTGATAATCTCTAGATCTATAGCATCAATACACATAGACATGCATCAAAAACACTAAATCTAGAGATAAGCACATGAATATCCTACTCTAGCATACATAGACATATGGGTAGAATAGAATAGTCAATTGGAAGCATTAAACCATACAAACCATGAAATAATCAAGATTTATATATACATGAATATCAAGATGTATCATACAACACTAATCCCTCAATAATACACAAGATTAGAGTATAGAAAGCATGCTTGGGGCTAACTCTAGCCCCAAGAAGATGTCTAGCCACTCATGGTAGTGATGATCCAACCCTCAAGGGCTAACTCCATGGCTGCTCCTTGTAGATGAAGATCTCCTCCAATGGTTGCTCTAGCTTCCTCCCTTCTTCCTCTCCAAGAATAGCCTCCAAGATGATTTTCAATGTGTGACAAGAGACTCTAGACTCCTTACCAAAAAGTGTATCATATTCCTTATATAGGTAGGTCAAATACACCCTATGATGAGCTGTGGTCGTGCAAGGCATATTCTCCAATGATTGGGTGAAGGACGGAATAAATGAGCTGGACTTTAACTTTTTCTCGCTGGAGGAAGTTCGATCGATCGAACCTTAACTTGGATCGATCGAAGATGGGTTCGATCGATCGAACTGCATCTTGGATCGATCGAAGTGGTCTGACTCCTCCGGATAAGGACAAGGCTGAGATATTTCGAAGATATTTATGGGGAAAAGGACAAAAGTGGTTGGTAGGCGTACAGCTGTGGATAAGATCAATCATTTGAATAGGACAAAATAGGGTTCGATCGATCGAAGGTGATGTTGGATCGATCGAACTTGGAATTTCAGCAAAGGCCAAGGTTGGATCTATCGAGAAGTACTGTGATCGATCATAGATGTTCGATCGATCGAACTCTAAGTTGGATCGATCGAACTTTTCAACTGCACAACTTTGATTCCTTTTTGCTCCTTACTTTCTCCACTTTGCTCCCTCCTTTGGTTTATCTCAGGATTGCTTCAATTAAGCTCTTATTTGGCTGAGTTAGCTCAATTTTGGGATTAGTGCCTGAAAATATAAATAACACGTAATAAGTCTAAAACGGTAAAGTAAGATAGATAAAGGTACTAGAATGCTTAAGCTTAACGGGTTTAAATGCGCACTTTTCAGTGCTCATCACACCCCCAAACTTAAATATTACTAGTCCCTAGCAATGAACTAAGAAGTAAATGAATGAAATGAGCAACTAAACAAGTATAAACTGGAAAGCAAGTAAAATGATAGCGCCACTTTCGTAGGGAACACGATTGCATTTAGCATATGCAACAAGCCT